GACATCATTTGTTCAGTAACTTAAGAAATCAAGAAAAATGTCAACTTTTCAGGCCAGTTAACCAGTTTTTCTTTTAAAATTAGGAATCAAAATAAATTCTCGCTCTGGAGGACACTTATGAACAGTGAATCAACGGGCATCAAAGGGGACTTTGCAATCTAGGAGAGAAAGGAGGAATGCAAGGTGCTCATGGAGATGACTTCTGCCTGAGTCTTGTAAAAAATACGAATGTGGCCGGGAGAGATAACTCAGTGGTTGAGAGCACTGGCTGCTCTTCCAGAGGTTCTGAGTTCAATTCCCAGCACCCACAGGGCAGTGTAGGCCTGACTGTAACACCAGTTCCAGGGAATCTGACATCCATACACAGATATACTTGCAGGCCAAATACCAATGCACATGAAATAAAAGTAAATAAATTTTAAAAAAATAGAAACGAATCCTTCTGCCACCTGGGAGCCTGAGAATCGTACATAATGCACCTTACTTGATTCTGGAACTTTCTTGAATGATAGGAGCCAACTTCTACAAGCATAGCCTGGGAACCACGTGAAATGTGCTTTGCCCAATTCTGAACTTATCTTGATTTGTGAGAGCCAAGTTCTGCAAATAAAACCAGTGAAGTATTGTGTTACACTCCTCTCATTCAGGAGCTCCATTCATTCAGAATGGGGCATTGGGCACCTTGTCTTATTCCAGAAATTTATTGGCTGGTAGACACTAAGTTCCATTTTTTGGGAGAGGGGGAGATTCATGGGAAAAGTATAGTTGAGTTTTTCAGATGTAGTGTGGATTTTTCCTGTTAAGTTATGAGGATTTCCTGTTAAGACATGTGGAGTATTCATTTCTTCAAAAAGGAAAAACAACAAAGAAACAAAAAACAAAAACCTGCATGTCCTGGCTAATGACCACAGGGAAATTCTGTTCCCTTTCAGGACGCAGACTCACTCAGTAAGTATGTGATGAATGCAGACTCCCTATTGGAAAAGGGCACCTGCGTTGGGTTAGCATGGTGGTGGCAGAAGACAGAAGTATCAATGGAGCTGGAGCAGGTGACCCAAGGCTCATCTGAGGCACATAAAGCCAAATATTGGAAAGAGGGAGAGATTTCATAGCCAGGCATAGATGTGCACACACAAAGGACATCATGAGCATAAAGGGACAGAAAATTCCATGGGCTCACTCCAAAGAAGGCGAGTCTGTAACGTGGTGAGTACAGAATAATGCTGGCCAGAATGGGGCAGAGGCTCTAATGGGTGGTGGTGGGTCTCATTCTGCATTCCCCTTGGCTCCTTGCTCCTTTGCTCTCCCTGAAGAATATGCAAACAAGAAATACAGGGTGTATATGCAAAGATAAGCAGAATTATTGCAATGTAGTGCCAAGCACACATGGTGTCACATGAGCACATCAGTGAGTGACCCTGGATAATGCCCAATGAAACATTGTGCTAATCTATATTCTAGACAAATATAGGACAATTTCTAAATTCTTCAGATCAAGCAGCCTTTTCTGAGGGACTTTGTCTTGTCTAGGTGATTGGCAGGCCCATTTGATTTGACTCTTATATGAGACATCTTGCAAGGCTCAGGGCTCCTGCAATCAGATGTAGATAGTTGTTGTTTTTTTCTATCATGATCTTCCAGGTAGTTCAAGATGTCACATCTCTTTCTAGGACCAGAAAGAACTAAGGTCTCATTCCTCTACCAGTAATTAGGATCCTGCTGTTTCGGCCTTTGATTATGAAGGAAGAGCCCATCCTCCACGCCCTCCAAGCCTGATAATATCCAACCAGCTGGTAAGCTACAATTCCATCACCAATTCTTTACGTGCTGGTCAGAATTCAGAAGAGAGAGCTAATTCTTCTAGGGGAAACAAATATCCTTCGTCTTATTCAGTGTAGTCTTCCTTCTAGGCCCATCTGTACTCTGCTTTCTTTATGAAACATCTATGGTTTTGTCTTGGTTTAGATTCTCAGAACACGCCTTTTATGCCTACTCATTGAACTATCGATGTTGATATGGATATGAACCCACTCTGCCGTACTGGCAGTATCAGAGACTGGTAAATGTTTTCTGGAAAGCGTCAAATAGGGAATATTTTCTGCTTTGGGGCTTTTTCACAAAGAGCAATTAATATGCAATTATTGTATAAAATACAGAATAGACAATGTATGAATTAATGACCAGGGTACATTCTAAAAAACTTTAAAATTTTTATAGACATAGAAATTTGAGTTTTATGAAACAACAGAAAACAATCGGGCTCCAGACTCCCAAAGTTCGATGAAATCTTAGATTCCTCTGGGAATATACAATATGATAGGCAAGGAAACTGAAGAGGCATCTTGGCCACTGTTTCCCGATGGTCAGGCTGCCCCCTTTTGGTTAGCTGGGGAACTGCAGTCAAATCCTCTTCACAGCTTGTAGCAGTGGCCACACATGCACACTAATAAAGGCTTTGCATCCTCAGAAGAACTAGCTTGCTTTATGTATTTATCTTGATTTTTTTGAGACAGGACCCTGAGCACAGAACTGTGACCTCATTTTCCTTCTTCCAGATTGGATCCCATTGAATAAATCTCCTTTTTCTTCTCTTCACGATTATTTGGCTCATTAATTGTTTTTATTTATGACAGGTAGATGAACTTGGCTTGTTGGGACACACGCTATGACCCCAAATCTGATAACACCAGCAAAACATCAGAAAGTCAAGGATAATAAAGTCTTAAAATAATAGTAAGAGATGATATCACACCTGCAGGAAGAAACAGTTCAAGTAACAGAGAGTCTCACCTTAGAGACCACAGAAACCAGAAGGAAGTAAGAAAGTCTTTTTCAAATTCTGGGGGGAAAAAAACAACAACAAAAACCTTTCAGCCTAGAAATATCCACTAAAAATGTCCTTCAGGAACAAAGGGGAAATTGAGGCATTCCTTAGTAAAGAGAAATGGGGTGATTTTGTTTCTAGCATTCTTAAAATAGACAGCGAAAGAATGCCTGCTAAACACAAATAAAATAATAAGAAAAGGAACTATCTAGGGCTAACGGCATACCTCACTGCATAGAAGCAAAGGCCTAATGGCCTGAGTCTGAGCCCCAGACAGACCCCACAAGGGGGACAGAGAGAACTGGCTCTTGAAGGCTATCCTCTGACCTCCCTGTGGGTGAGTGTGAGCATGTGTACATTGTGTGTGTCTAAGTGTGTGTGTGTGTGTGTGTGTGTGTGTGTGTGTGTGTGTGAATTTTAAAAGGAAAGGAATAATTATTCCTGGCATAACAAGATGGAACAGTAGAAAGAATAAGAGTGGGGATAAATAGATTTTCCATTTCCTCTTAAAGGTCTTGAATTTTTTTAATGGGTGAAGATAAAATTACAAGATAGACTTAAGACAGTTATATTTGGAGAAAGCTAAAGCTAAGATTTTACGCTTGGCTTGGATTGGTCCACTGACACCAGCATACTATGGTAAGTTATGTATGAATAATGCAATAGATATACAACTACTGATCACTTTGGGGTCCTCTATATGGCCCCACTGGAGGGGTACCCTCACTTCAACACCTAACTAGCCCACTCAGCTTTAAGAAAGCAGATAAATCAACACTCCAATTTCTTAAACGGCCGTAAGGGTCCCAGGGTAGAGGGGCAAGAGCAGGACATGGAAACCAGATCGGCAGATTAGTGCACGGACCCCAAAACAGCACTGTTAGAAACGCCCTTGGTTCTCTAGTCAGCAATGCCGGCCGGGAGCTCCGGTTCCTTATCTTCCCTCTGAGCATCGTTTCTGGAGGCTTTGTGTGAGGGTCAGGACTAGAACTCCAGTCCAGACACCAACCCCTTCTACTGAAAAGCTTTGGAACTAGATCTCTAGGTTTTCATGGCAAAAATAGGTTGCATCCTCCTCAACTTTGGGCCATTTCTTAAGTGATACTAGGGTGTGATTGGGAGGGTATGTGTTTTACAGTAGCATTAAACTTTTTCTTTTAAACTACAAGAGTATCCAAGATTCCTTTCGAGTCTCTTCTTTCTTTTTGTGAGGCTAAGAACTCCAAGTGGTGACCCCGATTTCACTGGTACAGAATCACCCCCAAAATATATAAAAAACATCACGACCAGAAGCAACTCGGGAAGAGGGGTTTATACAGCTTACAACTCTCAGGTCACGCTCCATCACTGAGGGAAGCCAGGACAGGAACCTGAAGGCAGGAACTGATACACGGTCATGGAGGAGTACGGCTTGCTCTGTCATGGCTTGCTCAGCCTGCTTTCTTATACTCTCCAGAATTACCCATCTCTGGCTGCACTGCCCACAGAGAGCTGGGCCCTCCCACATTCGTCATTAATCAAGGCAATACTCCCAAGACTTGCGTGTAGGCACATTTTCTCAACGGTGGTTTCCTCTTCTCTGATAAGTCTACCTTGTGTCAAGCTGATAAAACGAAACAAAACAAAACAACAACAAAAACTAGCCCAGACATGACAGACTTGACAAACTTCTTGGTGCTTCCCGTAATAGAAATACAAGCTACATCCATAGAAAAACCAGTTTGTGCTTTTTCATAGTTTTATCAGTAACAAGCCAATGCTGGAGACTGCCCAACTGTTTTACAATAAGTTTCTGGGTTTTTACTGTAAACCCAAAATGTCTGGGTTTGTACTGTGTTATACATAATTGAGACATGACAAGGAAAACTGGGTGTATGAATGAGACCCTCTTTTTTATGACTGCAACTTCTCTTCTGTAATTATTATTTCAATGAAGAAAATACTTAACCCTATTTTGCCACGGGCAGTTGTGACCCATACATAATTGCACAAGAGGAGAACCAAGGGGCTTCTCATAACCTCAGCAGCAGGGCTCTGAATGGCTCTTGACAACGAAGGCTGCTGGATATTGGGTGCATTTGCTCAGGAGACAGCCCGCCAGGGGCTGTGGAGTCTGCGGAGGGGCGGGGTTCAGCTCCGCTAGGGTCCAGAAAACTGGGGAGCAAGAGGCGCCGCGCCTCCTGTGGCTCTGTGAGGTTTCTGCAGTTTCCGTGGACCTCGGCGCCTGGCTGGGAACTTTCTTAGAACTGCTAACAGTTTGGCTGGCGGCACTGACTTTGCCCTAGTCACCGCCAGCTTCCCTCGCGCGGCTCGCACTGCGGCGGCGCTTCTTTCCCGCGCCTCCCCGGCCCTGGCCACCCCACGCGCGGACGCCGCGGTTGTGGAGCCCAGCATGCCGTGGAACTTGACCGCGGAGCAGCTCTCGGCGCTGCTGCGGCTGCACAACCTGACTCGCGCACAGTTCATCGCGCGCTATGGGCTGCGGCCACTGGTGCTCACCCCGCAGCTGCCCGCACGCGCCAGGCTGGCCCTGCTGCTCACCGGCCTGCTCATCTTTGCCCTGGCGCTCTTCGGCAACGCCCTGGTGGTCTACGTGGTGACCCGCAGCAAAGCCATGCGCACCGTCACCAACATCTTCATCTGCTCCCTGGTGCTCAGCGACTTACTCATCGTCTTCTTCTGCATCCCGGTCACCATGCTCCAGAACGTCTCGGACACCTGGCTGGGGGGTAAGGAGGTCCCAGTTGTCCTTTCTGGTTGCCTTTTGTTTCTTCATCAAGAGATTCCCTGAATTCAAAGAACTTCCCTGAGGGCCTTACTTGCTGAGGAGGCAAATTTGTTTCTTTGTTTTATTTTCTTTGCACCTTACGTTCGGGCCAGCATCCCTTCTTGTCCCGTAGATACATTGTTTGCAGTAAGATTTAAGTACAGTCCAGGGCAGGGGTGATTCTTCACTCATTTCAGCTCCTTCCCATAATTACAAAGTTACACACACACACACACATACACACACACACACACACACACACACACACACACACACACACACTGTTTAAAATAAACCATTACAATTTTAGAATAATCTTTCAATTAATAAAAAATCCCAAAGGTACTTTTTTTTCTCTCTCCTTCGCCCCAACTTCCAGGCTTCCTTCCCAGTTGCTTATGTGACTTCCAAGACAGCTTCTTGCATGTATTCGCTAATACACAGACTTAAAACCATTCACAACCAATATACAATGCAGAAAAATGTCTTGGTTTAGTTCTTTCTAGTATTTGTATTCACGGATTTGTAAAGGGAGAAGTAACAGTAAACACGTCCCCTCTTGACTTCTAAAGGGCGGGTGAAATTGTCCTCCATTGGAACAAGGGGTAGAAACGGCACAGAAACCATAAAGACAGGAGGAGTCAAGAAGGAGGAGCAGTGGTTGGGACAGAAAGACGGTAGGACACTGAGTTCCTGGGCCCCCCAAGACCTTTAGCAATGTTCTCCCCCACTGCTTCCAGGGCATTGGACAGGAAGCCCTAATTCTACCTGCTTTCATAAACAGTTGAAATTCTTAGAAAGTGGTTGTAAATGCACGAGAATGGATCATTATGCCTTCTCATGCTGCCATTTCTACCCCTAGGCTAATTTCTTTAAACACAGGGAGGCTGTTCTTATCTCACCTTACCAACCACCAGGGGATCACCAGAGAATACCTTTAGCATTGCTGTTTTTCAGTAGTTTGAGCCGCATTTCTTGTTTGGGATAAGGATACTAAATTGCTGACTGTTATTTCACCTATGATGTATTTTCTGAAAAGCATCAAATAATGAATACATAGCATTGATTTGAAAGTATTCCAGGGTATAGATCTTTATAAATTGATTATAAATTAGAAATTATCTGTGTTCTCTGATAAAAACAATTGCATGTGGGCATCCTAGAGTTACCCACTACAGCTAATTCCATCAAATTAAAGGGACAATTCTGGATTATCAAATAGAAAGTGCTTCTTGAGGAGAAGTTATAGAGTTACTGCTTTTCCTGCTCACATGCATATTTAGGAACACACTTGTTCTACTGGGTAGTTATACTGCCATTGTGACAGTGAGCACAAGCAGCAGAGTCTTTGCCGACTATTGAAGGACCAGAGTTACTACTTTGGCTCTAACACAGGCTTACTGAACATATCTGGGCTCCAGTTTTTAAATAACATGTTAAAATTTGGAGAAGTCTGCAAGTAGAGTGAGGCAGATCTTCTACTCCAAGTCCTGTTGAGGGATAATGCTCAGGAAGGTCACAGATCTTCCCTAAGAGGTCACAGGTAGGCACAGCTGAGGCTTCTCTCAAGCTTTCTGCTTCCCTTTCTTCCTACCCTGGGGAGGATGTGTCACTTTAGCTTCTAAATACTAAATGAAGATCATATGTTGCTCTTATATTTTATAGGGATTCTGTAAGAATAAAGTGTGTTAGCAAAAAGTGGTTTGGAAAGGGTGATTATCCCAGGTATGGTGGCACGCACCTCTAATCCAAGCAGCAAGGGAGGTAGAGAGAGGCAGTATGATTTTGTGTTTCTGGCCAGCCTAGGTGGCATGGTGAAACTCTGTCTCAAAAAGCAGAAGCAAAACAATGAAGTGGCCATGTCATGGAAACACAAGTTATTAAGAACTATTTAATTATAAGTGGCCTCTCCTTATTTATCTAGGAAAAGACTTACAGAATAAATAATATTTCATATATTGAGTAACCAACAACAGAACTTGAGAAGAGAAGAAATGGCCTACAGAGGGACTGGCCAAGGATATGAAAGAAATGTAACTTGCATATTATAGATTAGCATGGTATTGCAAAATTCCTCTGATGAATTAACAAAAGACAATCAAAGCTAATAAGAGTCAAAAATTAATTCTTTATTTATTTGATAATGTGATTAAGAATATGTTATATGGCAAATTATTTTTCCTTGAGAACATAAAAACAAAGCTTATCTAGACCCTTGTGGGGCCTCAGAGAATAGAATATAATCCAAGTGAGCTAAGATAGTATTTACTGTTTAGAAGAAGATCCAGTGTGCAGTAGAGTTGGGAAGGCTTTCCTTGGCTGTGTTGTTTGAGCTGGGTCTTGAAGAATGATTCCTATTGTTTTCCACACAGGAGAATGGGCTATGCTGTAGGAACATGGTCAGTCCACAGTTTGGAGAGAAAAAGGTCTGATGTTTTAAGAACACTGTGTAAGGCATTTCAGGAATACACAGCCAATATGTGGAAAATTGTAGGAAATGAGAAAAGAAGGCTACTGTGACTGGAGAGGAAAATATGTTATATAAAACCCCCAAACATAAATGCCTCTCAAATGCCTCCAGCGATGAAGTGGGACAGACAGCGGCAGAAGGGAGGCTGCCTCCTGGAAGGGCAATATAGCCTCCTCCAGAGGTGTGGGCAGGGTTGTCACATTTTCTTCAGTAATCACTCTTTCTATTTCTCTTCCAAGAGAAGCCATGAACATAGATTTTCATGGTACTGGCATCTAACTCAGATTTAAGGAGCAAAATGCATTTGGGTAAAATAAAGCATAGGTATAGCCTTGGTCATAAGTTATAATTCACAACACAAGTTACGATTTTTCTAAGACTCTTTTCTAAGCATTTTTGACAGCAGTAGTCTGCGCATGACTGTCTGTCCTTCCGAAGGCTTACTCCTTTCCTCTCCTAGCTTGCTTTCCATTGCTGGGATAAAACACCATGACCAAAGCAACCTGGGGAGGAAAGGCTTTATTTGTCTTAGACATCTCAGTCACAATCCACCACCAAGGGAAGTCAGGACAAGAACTCAAGGCAAGAGCTTGGAGGAAGGAACTGAAAGTAGAAGGCATAGAGGACTACTGTTTGTCTGCTTGTAGTTTTGCTCTCTACTTGCTGATATGGCCCAAGAACAACTTCCTCGGGGTGGCACTGCCCCAAGGTCTATCCCTCACATCAGTCTAATGAAGAAAATGTCTCACAGACTGGCCTGTGGGCAATCTGATGGAAGCATGTTCTCAAGCGGGGTTTCTTCCTCCCGGACAGCTTCAGCTTGTGTCAAGTTGACAAATAACAGCACATCTCACTTCCTGGAGACCGCAGCTCTTACTAAGTGTCTTACCACAATCCTAGGGTGATGCACATGCCACTGGAAGTGTAGTAAGCATCCCTGTAAGCAGCTGTTCTCAGACCTGCCTACATACAGACTCTCCTGAAGTACTCCTAGAATTGCCTGTGTCAGTCCAAGTCCAGACAGTAGCTCTCAGCTCACATTCACCTTGCTCTGACCTTTGGAGCCTGTGGTACCCAACAGCTCTACCCAGAGATTGTGTCAAGATGTCTTCTTGTGGGCTTAAAATTATCCCTACCGAGAGTATTTATACCATAGAAATCAACAGCTACAAATTAGGCCTGCAAAACAGAGAGCCAAGGAAATGAAAACACCAGGCTGTCTCTTCTACCACATCACTAAGCAAAGACATTGTGTGTCTTTTGGTACCAACAGTGACAGCTGAATCTGTAAGTATGAGTTTATTTGCTTGAATTCCATTCCTTAGGTGATGTACCTGATTTGCAGCAGTTCCATTTACTGTTTGGCAGAAGGTGAGCTGGTGTGCAGTTCTCTTTATCAACCTACTTCCTTTGCTGTTGTCTTTGGCTCACTCATCCCCCCCCTAGGAATTCTTGGAGCTAGCTTCTCTGGGTACCTTCAACAGTGTATGTGTGGCAGTTAACAAAGCTGAATGGAGTTGGAGATGTGGAGAGAGTTTTGACATCAGACATGGAGATGCAGAGTTTAGAGTTTAGAGTTTGCCCAGCTGGTTTTCGGTCTTGCTTTGGTCCGGTGTGTGTGTGTGTGTGTGTGTGTGTGTGTGTGTGTGTGTGTGTGTGTGTGTGTGTGTATTTTTTGCTATGCTCCCTTTCCTGTGTTTTGCAATGGTAATGTATATCCTGTGACATTATATGGTGGAAGTATGTGATCTGCTTTTAGACTTTGATTTTTGCAGGTGGTTACAGTTCAGAGACTGCTTGAATCTCAGAAGAGACTTTGAACTTTGGACTTTAAAACATTGTTGAGACTGTGATAGACTATGGGGACTTTTGAAGTTGGATTAAGTGAATTTTGCATTATGATATTGTCACAAACTTATGGGGGCCAGGGAGTGGAATGTGATAGTTTGAACGTCATTGCTCTCACAATCTCATAGGGAGTGGCATTATTAGGAGGTGTGCCTTTGTTGGAGTGGGTATGGCCTTGTTGGAGGAAGTGTGTCACTGTGGAGGTGGGCTTTGAGGTTTCCTATGCCCAAATACCACCCAGTGATTCAGTCAGCTTCCTGTTGCCTGCAAGATATAGCACTCTCAGCCCCGACAGCATGTCTGCCTGCATGCTGCCTTGCCCCCCTTCATGATCATAATGGACTGAACCTCTGAAACCGTAAATAAGTCATCCTCAATTAAATGTTTTCTTTATAAGAGTTGCTGTGGTCATGGTGTCTCTTTACAGCAATAGTAAACCCTAACTAAGACAATATGTTTTATTTCCTTTACATTGATATTAGGATTGGCGTGGGCTGAAATGGGGCCTGGGATGTTCTGTGTGCTTTCCTTTGGTCTGTTGGGCAGAGGCCAGGGTTGAATTGGCCTGTAACTGTTTTAGGACTATCACATTTACCTGTTCTTATCTCCAGACTCTTCATATCACCTCTTCTTTCATTTTTTAT